CCTGGAGAAATGACAACGTACCAATGCATGGTCAGAGTCGACACAGGTACTCCAGTACGAGCGGCAATCCAGAATGGAACCGCGCCACCTGTAAGTTATGGCTATATGGTCAATTTGGGTCCATCGCTGACCAGGTACAGGTGGACGCCTAGTGGCACTTCGGCGCCCACTGTGTCTAAAAGCAGTGCTAGTAAGAAACAACTGGTGCTCTGCACACAGTTGCAGCAGACGCTCGCCGTTGTCAGTCCGTTCGGAGTTAAATCCATACTTACCACCCAGATGAGCTTCTGAAGAGCTCGGACGGCCTACTTGTGCGTTCATATTCCCTGCAAGTACTATAATATCTGAACTAGTAGCACTGCGTAGTAGCGTGTTCAGTTCGTGATAGAAAGTGTCCTTGACTGCATTAGAACTGCAGTCCGTGGGAGCATAAGCAGAAATCACAAACAAACAGCGTTTTGTTTTACTTCGCGAATTCACCTTAGCTGATGTCGTCAAACGGGCTGCACATAAACGGCTGTTCACCGGAATCCAATCTACCAACGATGACTCAGCCTTGGAGCTGAGAATGATACCTACACCAGGTTGACCCGTGAGTGCTGCTTCGGCGTCTCCGGATGCGTGCAACCAATAACAAGAGGATAAGCCGGGTGCAGTTAATTCAATAACCCCGTTAGGATCCTTGATCCTAGTTTCGGACGCGCAACACACATCAATACCCAGTGTGTCCAAGGTGCGTGCGAGTGCAGCCTGCTGACGTGTTTGTCTTAGAGTGCGGACGTTGAATGTCGCCATGGAAACGGGACAGCGTGGCCTTATAAGGAACTTTTGCCGATAGGGGTCCGATAGGTGCTGGGGGATGGTGGCTGCAGATGGTTCTACTCCAGTAGCACTTCGGTTGCTGTCAATTAAGCTGGGAATTATAGAAGGAAGGTTAGTAATGGGGGCCGGGATGGGAGTAAGAGAAAAAGGCGGAAAAGAAAGAAGGGAGGCGCTAGCATTAGCATGCTTTTGCTTATCCGCCCTGCTGTATGCAGCAGATAAGGCAACCCTTGATAATCTGCGCGACGGCCGATGCAGTGTGGAATCAACAGGCACCGCGAAGAGAGACACAACTTGTTTGTTATCTCTGTGTACGCTCCAACTGACTGCAGTGGCGACTCGGTCAAGAACGAATTCTACCGGGATCTACATCAGCTCTTGACTAATGCTAAAAAGTCGGATGTCGTTATCCTTGCTGGAGATTTTAATGCACGGATTGGCCTCCTCTTACCGTACGAACGCCACCTTAGTGGTCATCACGCGCTCGATGAGAACCGCTCTGATAACGGAGAGAGACTTCTCACATTGTGCGAAGACAGCCGTCTGTTTCTTTCGAGCACTAACTCCAGACGTACGAAGAAGCGTTCCGCAACGTGGCGTCCCCCTTCTTCAACATAACCGTGGTCTCAAATTGATCACATTGCAATTAGTTTCAGATGGCGCGGCAGCGTACTGGACTGCAGGTCCTTTTGGTCCACTTTCGTTGATTCAGATCATGCTCTGGTCTGCGCGAAGATCTGTATGTGTTTTGGAGGATCCCGAAACACGAAACACCGCAAGATTGATGTAAACAGATTAACTGATTCCTCTGTCCAGGCGAGCTATCAGTCTTCACTGGCATATGCACTCAGTTGCAATCCACCGCAAGAAGTGGAACAACACTGGACTTGTATACGGAAAGCGCTAACCATTTCCTGACCGTCATGCTGCGACATAACTCGACGCTCTTTGAAGTCTTGGATCTCTGCTCGTTCTCTGGAGCTGCTCGAACGCCGCGAAATCAGATTGCAACGAGCGGCGCCGTTCTGCCAACCGACTGCTCAAGCAAAGCCTACGCAAGGATCGCGAGACATGGTGGTCTGAGCGTGCTTTAGAGCTGGAGACTGCTGCCCTCTCTGGCAACACTCGCAGGCTTTTCCAACTCATTCGGTCCACTGGCCTCAGGAAGCCTGGTGTCAGTGAGGTCATTCGTGAGGTGGATGAGTCTCCGATTAGCAACCAACAGAGGCGTATGGACCGCTGGGCCGAGCACTTTCACTCGCAGTTCAACTGGCCTCCACCATCCATCAGTACATGCAGTACATCTTGTTGTTCACCCTTGTTCGTCCCACTGCATTTACCCAGCGAAGCGGAAGTCTGCCTCGAGGTTCGACGCTTGAAGCGCTTCAAGGCTGCCGCCTTATACGTACTTCCTCCGGAACTATTCAAGTACGGCGGTGTGGCGATCATTAACCAGCTGACCGCGCTGTTCGCAAAAATTTGACGTGAAGAGAAAGTGCCTTCCTCTTGGGGCGATCCAGTTATTGTCCCGATTTTCAAGAAAGGCGCTCGCACTTTATGTGTAAATCATCGCGGGATTAGTCTTATTTCGATCGCCTCTAAGCTATCGGCATACATACTGCTTCGCAGACTATCCCCAATACGTGAATCATACTACCGTGAAGAATAAGCTGGTTTCCGTCCTGGCCGCGGATGCGTGGATCAAATCTTCACGCTCCGCCAGCTTCTCGAACATCGCCATATTTATTACAGGCCTACTATCGTTGCATTCCTAGAGATAGGTGCCGCTTTTGACTCCGTTGATCGACCTGCTTTATGGTGTTGCTTACTAAAGAACGGGGTGCCAGGGAAATATACCGCCATCTTACGAGCACTTTACCCTCATACATGCGGCAGAGTGAAGGTCTATGGCAAGTTTTCCTCGCAATTCGCTGTCAATAGCGGTGTGCGACAAGGCTGCCCTATGTCCCCATTCCTCTTCAACTTCGCCGTCGACTACTCTTCCCCAAGTCACGGGGCTCTGCGACATGTGCAGCAAATGCTGCATTCTTCCACAACACCAATGCGCCAATCGTCGCATTGTTGTCATCAAACCAATCAGGCCGCTTAGAGTTTGCGCGCCCGATTGTCTCCTCGGCAGCAGCTGTCACCTGGTCGCGAATGTGGTGCCACAGGTCACCCACGGTGGCTATGCAGTCCACATCACACAGGCGTGCAGCCATCGCCTTCTCCAGTTCAGTACGTTTTGCCCCAGTACCGAGGGAGAGAATGTTAAACTTACGTCGATTCACGGCGGGAGTGCAATACATAGATTTACGAAAATATATGTGCAGTTTGGTGCGCACCAATTTGGGATCAGTGCCACAGTCAGCTCCACGCAGTACACGTGTCATGCGCACTTCACGCATATCACGCTGACGTACGATGACATAGTCGAGTAGGTGAGCGTGAGCACTCCATGGGTGCGTCCAAGTTTCTATGTCACTTGCACTCATTGCAAACCGAGTGCTCGTGATCGTCAAGCCGTGAGTGGCACACAGTGAGAGCAGCCTGTCACCATTCGCATTCGCTGAACCAATGCCATGCGAACCGATAACATCTGCCCACACCGGTGTGGGCCGGTTCCGTTGATGAAACCTGGCTCTCATCCGCATGCCTCCCTGTCTTATTCCTTCGGGTTTACACTGGATATGGAGTGTGTGGACGGAGCTGTGGGTGGTGCAGCGCAAGCCATCCATGGTCCCTCTGTAGGCGCAGGCGTCCTGTGGTTTGCGAGAGTGACAGGCAAATCCGAAACCGCATGCCGCCAACCATATACCATTGGGTACTAGGTGAGTCCAGGCAACTGATCCCATCGCACTTCGTTATCCGCCTCATGATGGTGCAGTGGAGATAAATCTTTGCGCATCACTGAATATCGCTTAAGTCGCTTTATAGATCTGTCAGACCGCACTGTCCGTTGCTTAATTGATTCTTCACCCCAGAGATTTTTCGAACTTATCCATAAGTTTGAAGAGCCGCTGCTGCTGCAGCGATATGCTGATATTTGGGCTGCAGAAAACCGGTAGTTTTTACGAATAACACTCCCTTGCCTCCCTGCATTTTCCTGCGGTCGGACCTGCATTTAGTGATCGACCGTCAAACCTCTAACATCCGGACGACATAGCGTTCTTTGGATCGCTCGCAGCTGTAATGGAAGCGCCACTGATTCGGTCGACGCTTGCTGGTGAACGCTCCGGTATGTATCTTGTATTTCCAAAGCGTAGGATGCAGCTACAGGACTTCGCCCACGCACCACTAGGTCTCGCAATCATCCAACAGCGGTCGGGAGTTGTCGATCGGTTTACGTAACTGGGTAGCTATATCATCTCTGGCAACCATACCATCGGAGAGGTTACTGCAAGCATGCTAAGGCTTGTTCTGCCTATCGAATTTTCATCGACTTAAAGACGGCAAGATGTAAGTGTATTGGTTAAATGTGTCTGCAATGCTACAGTGCAGTCGGTGTCACCGTACGGATCAGAGACCTGTCCTCTACGCACTGCGCACAGTAAGAGACTGACTGCATCTGACCACGCATGCTTGCGATGCACCACAGGTATCCGGCAGCAGAACCGAGTGAATGGAAATTCGTCATTCGGTTTTTCCCGATAGCCCTAGAAATTCAGTGTAATGCGATTGTTAAATGCAAATCGCCTCAGTTGGCCCGTCCATAAGCTCCGTATACCAGCAAGCCAACTATCTCAGCGCGTATTGCTTGGTTGGATGGAAGCCTTAGCACAAAGAAACTCACCTAATAGTTGAACCGACTAAGTTCTTGTCATCACTCCGGCTGGGACCACATTAGTGGTTAGGTGCCTTATCGAGTGTTGCGCGATCATGAAGTCAGCGATGCTTTTGCAGTCGTTCCCTCTTACACTCTGCGACTGGATCCAACACATGTGGAACACTGATCGTCGTTGGCAAACAATCCTTGTCACGCGTCCAGGGCACCCTAATGTGGGTGACGGACGCTAGGTCACGAACAGCTGAAAATAGACAAGCCACCATAAGGCTATTGATTGGTGGATTGGTAAGGGGTGTACATCCAAATTCACAGCCATCACGTAATACGGTCCCAATGTATTTCCTATAACCATGGAAGCACTGCTGTTTTCACTTTTGTTGGCTTATTTCATATGGCGTACCTAGGTTTTTTACGTGCTTGTTTGTACACTTAGGGTGTCATATTATGAGTGTGGAACGCTTCTTGTTCTTTTACACCAGCCGTTTCTTTCAGAGGATTTGATCTGGCGATGCAGTCCGAAGTCCCTCGTCTGATATATTTAAACGTGCCAATACATTGCGAGGAGGCTATCTGTTTGCTGGACCTAAAAGCCCGTTCCTTCACAAAAACGCTGAACCGTGTAATGAAGAAACTAGACAAGGGCGAAACTTCGGTGGAAAAATCGATTCCTCGCGTAAGCCCCACCGGACTCGTTGAACCCTCTGGTTACACTCTAGTTGCTGATCAAGCAGAAACACGAACAGAGTTTATATTCGCCAGACTTCCTGGGGAATCCGGGGATAGCGAATTGCATCAGCTTCCGTTCACACGATTTACAATTAAAAAGGACAGCGCCAAGTATGTTTTACTTTCGACACTGTATTTCTCTGTTTTCATAAACTTTATAGTTGTTACACCGTCGTACTGACTTTCCCTTCGATCTCACCGGGTAGCTTAGGTCCTCAGTCTACTGTTCAGCCATCTACCAATGTATTCATCTTAATTTTTTGGTATTACGTCTCGTCTCAGCGTAACCAGTCTATAGTTGGATGAAAAAGCGCATCAGCAATACACTGTACCGACGCTTCGCTGCCAAGCAACCACCACTGATCGCTCCTGCGATAAGGATACTACGAGAGTCGCACGGTCTCCTACGCATGTTCGAACCGGCGACCTCCAGATTACTAGGCAGGCGTGTGATCCTTTAGGCCACTGGCCGTCAGCTAGATGTAAACTTGAAAACAGAGGTTGCGAGTCGCAACCTAACCACACAGCGTGTTTCCTAAATTTAACTTTGAATGGCTTTCCGCTGTGCCAAGTGTTGCTCGCGGATCCCAGTAGCAGTGTTTAGGGCGTCAGCCGTGAACTACTAGAATCTGAGTTCTACCCCAGCTCAGGCTATCTCCACCTGATGAGTCTAAACCAGGACGGAACTGCGGTCGGGGTGTGCCAGTGTTGGGAGGAGCAACCCAAATATTTCCATCCCGTTTACGGTCCTCGCGATCGGAATGACCGAGGTTTACCTCAAAGTGAACCGAGGTTGCGAGTCGCAACCTAACCACACAGTATGTTCCCTAAATTCAACGTTAAACTTGAAGATGCTTAGAGAGGCTCACTCCTCTGAGCTGTGAATTTGAATGACACCGGTCTGTGTGAAACTTTCAATCCTTTGAAGGGTTGGTGATGCTTAGATTGAGGACCCCAACTATCTAGTTCCGAATACTGGAAGTATATAAGGCCTTTTAAAGCCTTTCGTGACAGCGGCGCACTAGCACAGAATGGTTCCAGATTGTTGTTTACAACCTAATTCTCTTTGTTGACATAAAAAGTCTTTTGAGAGTTGATTCAGACGCATATCAGGTTGGCCAATACTCACTCTCTATCGATGGAATCATAATCAACCAACAACTGCCTTCTCACTTCGCTACTGTAGACAACGATGAGACCAAATGTGAACAGCATTTCCAAGTTACCTTCTTTTCCAACAGTCCGAAGCATCGTACTATCTTCGATACTCATTATTCCATCGTGCCTAATTTGCATCACTTGCCGTGTACGGTTTTGTGGTGCGTTTTATGAGTATCCCAGTCCGAACGAAAGTTGCCTATGCCAGCTCTCAATCAAATTATGGTTCGTAATTTACATCCGGCCCTTGGCTGAAAGGACCACAAACCTGTCTTGTAATCTGGGGATGGGGTCGCGGATTCGAGCCTACGTAGAGGACCGGGTGGCTGTCACAGTATCCTTAGACCACGCACGACCGGTGGTGGTTGCGTGGCAGCGGAGCGTCGGTACTGCGTACCGGCGCACTGCTGATGTCTTACCTGTTTTCATAATTTACATCTGCACCCCCTATTGTCTTTCCTGGCAGTGATGAAGTGGATTCATCAGTAGCGCGTTCCGTATCGACAAAGCCTAACCAGACACCACAAGGTTAGTTCGTTTATTTATGTCTTCCCTATATACTTCACATAGTCAGTGAGTACTTTTTTGTCATTAACATTCATCATTCACTTCAATCTCCATTCACAGAGTCTGCTGTTACGATGGAGGAGAGATTGCAGCAGTTTTCGCAAAAGCTTGATGATCTCAACTCTTCCATTGCCATGTTGTCCGGCTCTATGCAAACACAGCGTTGTCCTCTCACTCCTGTCAGACGTGAGTCCAACACCGTCTTGCCTGTCCACTTTATTTGTTAGTTAACTTGTAGCACTTTCGGCATTCGAGGCTTAGGTCCATTTGGCCGACTGGTCCTCCAATTGAACATCTATGGAACACGCATTGGCAACATCATCCGAACTCCAGAAAATCTGCTAAATGCAACCACACCTACGAGTATATCATTTTATTGCGCCAAAACGCGTCTCTAATGTGAAAAGATAGAAACTCTACCGGTAAAATCTATCGAGAAGCCCATCTTAGTTCGATCACACTTGTTTTCGTCGATCACTCCGCAGCCGAAAGCACAACGCGTCTGGTTTACAACCCGGAAGTCGCGGGTTCGAGCCTTTGTATTTGGGCTGGGCGACCCTCACAGTATCCACGCGCGGCTGGTGATGGTTGCGTGGCAGCGTAGCGTCAATACGGCATACTACCGATGCCTTTTTCCATTTTGATCAGTTCGCACCACTGACTTGACAGTGCACAGATTGTTACCCAATCACTTAACATTTTTCTCACTATCAAACTGAAATGGCTAATGAGGTCAGCCTTGTAAAAGCATAAAAAAACCGACTTCAATAATGCTCATAAGTGACGAAATCATCCCGATCATCGATAGTTGCGTTTACTTTCCCAATCCGGTGTGTAAAAAGTGATTCACATGTTGGTAGTTATCCCATCTGCTTTAAGGTGCTTTATCAATTATAGAAAGAGAGGTCTGTCTTCCCTCTCTGTTGCTAGTATTGTCACGGAGCTCCCAAGCCCAGTGCCTAGCTGAACAAATAACAAATATAGCATGGTTGGCTTGTTTATCAGGGCCGCGGTGTCCAATAACGATTGGCTCACACATGGAGCAGCTATAGAACACTCAGATTATTAGGCATATTTCTCTTTTAATACCGTCCATTCACCAAGGTTTGAATTTAAGAGGTAAAGTTCCGCAATACATCGTCATCTTGCTCATTTCTCGATGCTGAATTACCCCTCACTTAACAATCCTAGCCATCTCTGTAGACATCGGGCCCGCTACCGGTCAGACGATAACTTGCCTCACCTGGATTCAAACTGGCCACGTCATCATTGGCCGTAAATAGTGCATATCAATCCTAGATTGTCCGGTCGACGCGGGCCACTTTTCTCGATTTTGACTATACGCTCGTGAGCATCCACAATAACGTTCGCTTGTCCGGCTTAGATAAAGTGGTAAACTCCGTAGGTGCCTTCGTCATGTTTACTTGTAATCGACGGGGCAACAAGCAGAATCGCGACGTCGCCTACCGCTGGCGAAAGATATGAGCGAACTGAATGCAAATTGGAATCGTCACCAATGAACCATGAAAAGGCACTAAAAATCGCTTCTCCTTTATTCACCGGGAGCATATGAATAAGGAATGTATTCCGAATCGATATTGTCCAAACTCGTGGGTTCAAGTAAGATGGAAATCACTCAATTATTAAACCCACAGACTTAAGTGCTGGATCTAATACTTCAGTCAACCCATCATGTTAGATCTTCTGTATCCGCTGAACCCACTATAGCCAACCCCGCTGCCTTGCAGGTAAGTTATTTAGCCAAAGGCTCAGGGTGGAGTCCCATAAGTCAACTCCCTACTTCGGCTTGGGTAACCGAGTAGTACCACGCCCTCTCGCAAAACCATGGACTGTATTACAACGTGCTCATCAGCTACTGTTTCTGCTAGTCACTTTCACGCTACTTCATCACACACCAATTGTTTGTTTGTTAACAATCCTCACTTTCCGTTACCTGATTCATCTGTTCAACAATCTGGCTGCGATTCCGGTTGCTCCGCAGATCAAGGAGTTCAACCTATGGCTCTCCTTCGACCCCGATCCTAGTTCCGTTTGGCGTGCTTCAACGTTCGGACACTCATGCAGATTGGACGGCAAGCCGGTCTAGCGCGCACCCTAGAATCCCTACTGCTGCCTTTCAGAAACCCGATCTCAAGATCCCAGCACTGTGCTTACATTAACATCCGCCACTGACCACGAAGCCAGTCTCCAGTCTTTCTGGGGATCCAGAAGCAGCCTCAGCGGGTTTGGCTGGCGTAGGTATAGCACTGAGTGGCAAGGCCGAGGCGGCACTACTGGACTGGTTCCCTATTAACAACCGACTATGTGCAGTTCGGCTTCGGGGTTCATGTGGAATCAACAGGCACCGCGTAGAGAGACACAACTTGTTTGTGATCTCTGTGTACGCTCCAACTGACTGCAGTGGCGACTCGGTCAAGAACGAATTCTACCAGGATCTACATCAGCTCTTGACTAATGCTAAAAAGTCGGATGTCGTTATCCTTGCTGGAGATTTTAATGCACGGATTGGCCTCCTCTTACCGTACGAACGCCACCTTAGTGGTCATCACGCGCTCGATGAGAACCGCTCTGATAACGGAGAGAGACTTCTCACATTGTGCGAAGACAGCCGTCTGTTTCTTTCGAGCACTAACTCCAGACGTACGAAGAAGCGTTCCGCAACGTGGCGTCCCCCTTCTTCAACATAACCGTGGTCTCAAATTGATCACATTGCAATTAGTTTCAGATGGCGCGGCAGCGTACTGGACTGCAGGTCCTTTTGGTCCACTTTCGTTGATTCAGATCATGCTCTGGTCTGCGCGAAGATCTGTTTGTGTTTTGGAGGATCCCGAAACACGAAACACCGCAAGATTGATGTAAACAGATTAACTGATTCCTCTGTCCAGGCGAGCTATCAGTCTTCACTGGCATATGCACTCAGTTGCAATCCACCGCAAGACGTGGAACAACACTGGACTTGTATACGGAGGGCAATGACTATTTCCGGACAGTTACGCGGCGGCCTAACTCCACGCCCCTTGAAGGTTTGGATCTCTGCTCATTCTCTGGCTCTGTTCGAACGCCGCAAAAATATCCCCACGGAATCAGATTGCCGTTCTGCCAACCGGCTGCTCAAGCAAAGCCTACGCAAGGATCGCGAGACATGGTGGTCTGAGCGTGCTTTAGAGATGAAGACTGCTACCCTCTCTGGCAACACTCGCAGGCTTTTCCATCTCATCCGGTCCACTGGCTTCAGGAAGCCTGGTGTCAGTGAGGTCATTCGTGAGGTGGATGAGTCTCCGATTAGCAACCAACAGAGGCGTATGGACCGCTGGGCCGAGCACTTTCACTCGCAGTTCAACTGGCCTCCACCATCCATCAGTACATGCAGTACATCTTGTTGTTCACCCTTGTTCGTCCCACTGCATTTAACCAGCGAAGCGGAAGTCTGCCTCGAGGTTCGACGCTTGAAGCGCTTCAAGGCTACCGGCTTAGACGTACTTCCTCCGGAACTATTCAAGTACGGCGGTGTGGCGATCATTAACCAGCTGACCGCGCTGTTCGCAAAAATTTGACGTGGAGAGAAAGTGCCTTCCTCTTGGGGCGATCCAGTTATTGTCCCGATTTTCAAGAAAGGCGCTCGCACTTCATGTGTAAATCATCGCGGGATTAGTCTTATTTCGGTTGCTATTGGCATCCATTCTGCTTCGCAGACTATCCCCAGCACGTGAATCATACTACCGTGAAGAACAAGCTGGTTTCCGTCCTGGCCGCGGATGCGTGGATCAAATCTTCACGCTCCGCCAGCTCCTCGAGCGTCGCCACCCTTATCACAGGCCGACTATCATTGCATTCCTAGACATACGTGCCGCTTTTGACTCCGTTGATCGACCTGCTTTATGGTGTTGCTTGCTAAAGAACGGGGTGCCAGGGAAATATACCGCCATCTTACGAGCACTTTACCCTCATACATGCGGCAGAGTGAAGGTCTATGGCAAGTTTTCCTCGCAATTCGCTGTCAATAGCGGTGTGCGACAAGGCTGCCCTATGTCCCCATTCCTCTTCAACTTCGCAATCGAAGACGTTCTGTCGAATGCTCTAGAAGGTTTCCAACATTTTGTTCTAGAGCTTCTACCGGGTGAGCGCGCCACCGACTTAGATTATGCTGATGGTATCGCCTTACTTGGTGACGATCCTCAGGGTATGCAACTCATTCTGGATCGTTTGGCGGTTGAAGCATCTAAGTATGGCATGAGCTTCGCCCCATCGAAGTGTAAAGTACTACTCAATGATTGTCTTTCACCTGCTCCCGTGCTCACTCTCGAAAGTGCACAACTTGAACAGGTAGATAGTTTCGTCTACCTTGGGAGCTGTGTTTCTGCTGACCGCACTAACAACAAAGAAGTTTCTCTTCGTATCGCTAAAGCTCGATCAGAATTTGTCAATCTGAGGCACTTGTGGCGTCGTCGTGACGTCTCATTCTCACTAAAGGGCCGCATTTATAGTGCATCAGTTCGCTCAATATTCTTGTATGGGTGCGAGTCCTGGCCGATTCGTGTGGAAGACATGCGTCGTCTTTCTGCATTCGATAACGGTTGCTTATGGAGGATCGCTCGTGTTTGGTGGCAACATCGAGTTAACAGTAATGACGTTCGACGTCGCATCTTGGGGAATGCGAGTATTCCGTCCAACAACCTGGTTTTGTTGCGCCAGTTAAGATGGCTCGGTCACGTCCTACGCATGGCACCTGAGCGTCTACCGCGTCGCGCTCTATTCGCTCGTCAAGGACCTGGCTGGAAGCGACCGCGTGGTGGTCAGCCTTCCTTTTTGGCGGCAGCACATGAAATCGCTGACGTCGTGTCTAGCCGCTGTTAGATCCGTACGTCTTCCAGGATGGGGACCCAAAGATGAGGAGTGCCAATGGCTTAGCACTCTTGAAGACATGGCCCGGAACCGGAGTCAGTGGAAGAATTATGTACAGTATTGTGTTGATTCACATGTTTAATACTACAAACATTGAAAATGACAAAAAAGAGCAAAAGCGGCGTGTGAAAAACAAACTAAAAATGTTTTGTTCTAGTTTTTGTCAAAATGTTCCATGCTTCCTGCGGCATATTAGCTGAAGTGTGTTGCTCACCTTCAACTAGCGTGCCACAATGACTTTTGCTTATCCGCTGATCTCCATG